TGTTATTGTTTTTAATATTTGCACGCAGCTTCTTCTGCCCCCACCAGGTGCAGACCCTGCACCTCCTGCTGTGCCGCTCCTTCCAGCTGTGCTACCTGCTGGCGCACCCCGAGCAGCAGGAGGGTGAGGGGGATCCCCCGGGGACCGGGGTGCTCCGGGAGCCCCTCAACCCCGACCAGGTGTCCCGCAATGTCAACGCCCTCGTCTCCTTCCGACGCTTGCCCGCGCCCGCTGGCCTCGGCACCCTGAGCCCAGGGGTGGGTGCACCCTGCCGGGGTGGGGGGTGCTGGGCAGGGAGGGGCCTTTGCACGGGGTTTGCTTGCACGGGGCTTCCACGTGCGGCGTTTCACTGCGGGAGGTGTGGTGCCCTGCACGGCCTTGTCTCACACCAAGTTTCGCACGGTGCGTTTCCGTGGTACCTTCCATGGCCTATCCTGTGCAGCCTTTCATTGCACAGATTCCTTAGCACAGCAGCACACACGTGGTGTTTTTTGGGCAGTATTTTGCCCGGTGGCTCTTGCACATTTTGCGTGGTGCATTATTGCACGGCACGTTTTTGCACAGCTTTTCTTTTCCCACAGCTTTTTTTTTTCCCCCAGCGTCTTCGTGCGCACAGCCTTTTTGTGCATGGCATCTTTTCCAGGGTGATTTGCAGGGAGGGTTTATTTCACAGCACCTTTTGCCTGCAATTTTTGCCTGGTGTTTTGCACAGCTTTTTTTTTTCCCCACTGCCTTTTCTCGGCACGGCGTTTTGCGCGGCATTTTTGCTGTAGCATTTTTTGCACGGCAATTTCTGGCACGGTGATTTCCACGGCATTTTTTTTTTCCACAACTTTTTTTTTTGCATGGCTTTTTTTTTTGCTAGCAGTCTTCTTTCACCACACATTTTGCAGGGCATTTTTGCCTGGTGTTTTGCCCAGCTTTTCTTTTCCCACTGATTTTTTTTGCGCTGCATTTTTTTTTAAGGTGTTTTTTGCGTGGCACCTTTCACACGGTGATTTGCATGGAGGGGTTTTTATTCACAGCACGTTTTTCGTGGCATTTTTTGAGTGGTGTTTTGCCCAGCTTTTCTTTTCCCACTGATTTCTTTGCACAGCCTCTTTGTGCCAGTTGTTTCGCGCGGCGTCTTCGGTGCGACCCTTTTTCTGCACCAGGTTGTTTGTTGTTTGGGGGTTTTTTTTTGCATGGTTTTTACATGACTTTTCAAGCAGCGAGGACCTCCCAGAACTTCCCCCCTCACAGCTTTTCCACCCTCCAGGAGCGGCGGGCAGAGATGGAGGGCAGAGCCTGGCGCCCAGGGAACCCCTATTGCTCCCCGGTTCTGGTGCGCAAGAAAGCGATTCGCAGCAAAGTGCTGCGCTCCGGGGCCTACCGGGACTGTGGGGGGGAGGGACAGCTCCACCAGCCACCCCGGGACACTGGTGAGTGCCCCGAGGGAGAAACTGAGGCACGGGGAGGTGACATAACCACAGATTTCTGTGAGGTTTTTTCAGGAGGAGTGATGAAGCCTCCAGAGAGGAGGCCGCAAAGATGGAGGTTGGAGTGAGGTGGGGTTGGTTCTTTGCCTTGTTAAGAAGCAACAGGGCAAGAGCAAATGGGCTGAAGTTGCACCAGTGAGGGTTTAGATTGGATTTTAGAAGAAACTTCTTCACTGAAAGGGTTATTAAACACTGGCACAGGCTGCCCAGGGAGGTGGTTGAATCACCATCCCTGGGGGTGCTTAAAAGCCATGGAGATGTGGTGCTGAGGGACATGGGTTAGCGTTGGACTTGGTAGAGTTGGTTTAATGGTTGGAATCGATGATCTTAAAGGTCTTTTCTTAAACGAAACAATTTTGTGATTCTATGATGATGTGAAGTCTGAAGCAGCTCTGCTCTGGAGCCAGGCTGGGAGAGTTGGGGTGTTCAGCCTGGAGGAGAGAAGGCTCCAGGGAGACCTTAGAGCACCTTCCAGTGCCTGAAGGGGCTCCAGGAAAGCTGGGGAGGGGCTTGGGACAAGGGCAGGGAGGGATGGGATGAAAGGGAATGGATTGAAACTGGAATTTGGGAGATTTAGATTGGACATGAAGAGGAACACCCTCTTTGCTGTGAGGGTGGTGAGACCCTGGCCCAGGTTGCCCAGGGAAGCTGTGGCTGCCCCATCCCTGGCAGTGTTGAAGGGCAGGTTGGATGGGGCTTGGAGCAGCCTGGGCTGGTGGGAGGTGTCCCTGCCCATGCAGGGGGGTTGAATCTAGATGATCTTTAAGGTCCCTTCCAACCCAAACCAGTCTGACTCTGTGATTCATGTTGCCCAGCAGCAGGATGGGAGAGCAGAGGCCCGAGGAGCTTGGCCTTCCTCCCCGAGAACGAGAGCATCCTCGCCGAGAGCGTCTGGGCCTTCACCGGCATCACCAGGTGAGTGGGTCGGAGGGCCCCGCTCCTCGCCCTGACCCCTCGAGCTTGTCCCCTGTGCCCACTCCCACCTGGTCCCCTCCCCAGGGCCGGCGGGGTGGCCCTGCTGCGGGGGGACATCCCCGGCTCCTTCCTGCTGCGCCCCGAGCCCGGCCTGGCCAAGCGCTGGTGCCTGTGGGTGCGCGCGCCCTGCGGCGTCGTCCCCTACGGGCTGGTCAGGACACACCAGGGCAGGTTCTGCCTGGAGGTG